GAACCGCGGACGGTCCAGCTGGCCGGGGCAGAGGGATGCTTTAGGGCCCGTTGGGTTGGAAGACAATTACGCGGCAGATGGCAAACGGCAGCAGGCGGAGCCAGGGCAGGGATTTACCGCCTCACCTCGCAAGGACAGTCCTTCGGACTCGGCAGCCTCTTCCCTCTGTCCAGCAGCTCAATCAGCCTCAGAACCGTCATCTGCCCCTGAGTCGCCCCAATCATCTCAATGAATTTCTGCGAGAGAGGGGAGGGTCAGGCTCAGCTACCAGCTTCGCAAACACCCATGCTTGCTGCGGTGGGAAGCCACCGGCCCCCACCAGGACTCACCACAGGAGGGCTCTGGCTAGAGTCACAGCGTGTCAGGAGCTCGTAGAGCGTCACCCCGAAGGACCAGACATCGGACGCGTAGTAGAACTTGCACTCCTTGAGGCACTCCATGGCATACCTGCACCGGGACGGCCGGTACAGTCAAGGCAGGGCAGCCACGAGAGCGCACCAGCAAGCCCGAGCCTGGCACATTTATTTGGTCCCCAGTAAACGTCCCAGTGCCACACCGGGATCCGTCCTCCCCTTTGCTCACCCCAGACCTCCGCCGCTCCACCCCACACGGTTGCTGCCTCGCGCCGGCAGCAGGGACGCACGGGGGGAGCACAGGCAGACGCAGGCCTGGCTGCGCTCACCAGAAGACAGGGCTGTCTCCGTCCTCGCAGACGCGGTAGTACTCGTGGCCCTCGGGAATGGCCTTGGCCAGGCCGAAGTCTCCAATCTTCACCACGTTCTCGTTCTCCAGCAGCACGTTCCGAGCAGCAAGGTCCCTGTGGATGTAGTGGAGGGAGTGCAGATAGGCCATGCCCTGCAGAGAGGAAGACAGGGGTTAGACCCATTCGGGGGAGAGCAAAGCAGCCGCGTCGCACAGAGAAGCCAGGAGTCCCAGCCCTCACTGCTCCTTCCTTTCGATGCTGCCCTGCTGTCGTTCCCTCTTCACAAGGCTTTCCTGACACCCTCTTCACTCTCCGCCCTGCCCCACCACGCTCGACAAGGACTGCGGATGCCTCAGAAGAGGTTAAGCGTTTACCTCACAGATCTGCTGGGCAAAGAGCAGGATATGGGCCAGGCTGACGTTGTGTTTGGGCAAGTAGTCTCGCAGGCTGCCCAGCGGCACGTACTCCATGATCAGCTGCACAATCTTCTCCCCTGGCAGGAAAGCGGGAGGCAAACGACATGTGAGTGGTGGGGCTCTCACAGAGAGGGGGCCACGGTGCAGGGGCATCCCAAACCCCTGTCCTCTCCTGCCAGAAAGAAACTCCGGGTTTTGAGCATCTCTCCAGCAGCAGCCAGCGTCAGGGCGATGGGGATCGCCCCCAGTAGCAGACAAAGCAAGTTTAGGCTCTGCTGTGCGTTCAACCCTGCAGCGCAGAGCATCACCAGCTCTGCAAGAGCTCTCCCTGCAGGGAGAGTGTTAAGGGCACACTCAAACATGCCCCTCTGGGACAGCACTTGGCCAACTCACAGCCCCTGGAGCAGGGCGCAGGCAGCTGAGGGGAGCCACACGGGATGGCGTACACTCCAGGCCACAGCCGCTGTACTGCAGATCCAGCAACGGGGCCACATCCCCCCTTGCAGCAGAGGGACAGCCTTACCCTGCTCGCTGCAGCAGCCCTTGTACTTGACAATGTTCTCGTGGTAGAGCGTCTTGAGGATCTCGATCTCCCTCTTCCAGCTGGCCAGAAGCTGCTGGCTGCAGCCGGACTTGAGAGACTTCACAGCCACCATTTCCCCAGTGCCGTCGTTAGTGGGGTCGTAACAATATAGGCTCACCTTGCCAAAATGGCCCTGGGAGGAAACGGACACAGCCTTTGGGATCCTGCCAAAGGGAGAGCTCCTCTCCAGCCCACTCTCCCCATGCCAGAGCAGCCTCTCTCCCCACGCTTGCTAGGGGCAAACAGACTTCTGAGACAGGGGGAACGTCCTCAGTGAAAACTGCCTGAAAATAAGGACTTGTTGCCCCCTAGTGTAGATGCTGATTTTGGGGAATCGGTGCAGAAATAGCCCAGTTCATCCAGGAGCGATGGGAGCAGATCAATCACGCAGCAATACAAGGCACCGCAGGCTGACAATCCTGCACTAACCTGCTACGAGAACACCCTCCCAACAAGCTCTGAGTCCCCCTGGCCTTCCCAACCTACCCAAAAGGCCTAAATTGCCCTTGGTGTCTTTATCAGCTCTCTGCTCCTTTGGGGATTTATCACACCTCAAGCCACGCTGGCTCCTGCAGGGCCCCTACAGTGGGGGTAAAAGATGCCATTTACCTCCCCCAGCTCTCGGATCTTTTTCAGGTAGCGCTTCTGAAAGACTGTGGGGTCTGACACCGGAAAGTCAGGGTTCACGGAGGTGATGTCTACGAGGTCTGGAAATCAAGGAGATTGAGAGAACAACTAAGGTTGCCCAGCAGCACGGACACTCTGCACATGTGCGCTCTCACCCCTGCGGCTGAGGAGCAGCAACGATGGGATCTTCTTGACCCAGGTCTGCTCTGGCCAAAAGAACATCCGTTCTTGGGTGCAAGGCACCCCTGGGAACAAAAAAGCCCCGAGACAGGACAAAAGGGATCATGTAAACAGGCGTGTGGGCAGGGAGCTAGCTCCATCTGAACCACCAGACTCCAGGAAGGAGAAGTCAAGTAACAGCACAGACAGGAGGGCTGCCATCTGTGTTAACACTTCTCCTCTTCTCAGGGTAGTCTGTCTTCTTAGAAAGGGAGGCAGACTACAGAGAAACTCCTCAGGGAAGGAAAAGGCTCCCCACACCCAAACCAGGTGCCTAGGGCAAAGCTGGGCAGGCTGTGAAGGGCAGGATGGGGCCTTACTGTGCGGCTGGAGCTGGGTGAGGTCCCGGAGGATGGTCCGGAAGGAGGGCCGCTCGCCGGCAGTGTAGTTCAGGCACTGACAGATGAGGGTGGCCAGCTCCTTGCAGGATGGCTCAGGTAGGCGATGCTTCTTCTCGTAGAAGCGCTCTTTCTGAGAGAGGAAAGAAAGGCAGGTCTCAAACACCCTCCACCTGCTGAA